CGGGTAGGATCTTTATCTGTCAGGGACGAATAAGGCCTATATAACCTTTTCAGATGCTAATTCGTCCTATTTAACAATCAATCTGAAGAACGAATAGATGCTTGACTATCTATTGGGCATGACTAATCTTATTTTCTCTTAGCATGAAGAAATTGGTCCTGTTTGACTCTCTATTGAGGCCGAATTGATCCTATTTAGCAGAGAAATGCGTCCAATTTAACTCTCTATCAGGCGTCGACTTAGTCTCATTTGAATACTAACAGGGACGAACTTACTCCCCTTTAGCTGTCAATTTGGCAATGTATTTTACCTTGTTCACTCTGCCAGTGAAATCACAAACATTCCTCAATCCAAGTATTTGAAAATAGTTATGTTGCAATGCCTTTTTTTTATCTCGCCTTTATATATAGAATCCAGAATCACGTTTATGCTCGTAATAGGTGTACCTAGCCATTGCCGACCCAAAATGGCAGAATGATTCAAATTATTACATACTTCTTGGAGGCGAGAACAACGGTCAGCCGACAGCCGATCCTACAAATGGTCTCAACTTTATAGGCGACGTTCAGGTAAATTGGCATGATGTCATTTGTTTGTTTACATCATCCCGGACCTAATACGGCACGTACACAATTGACCCTTCTGTCGACAAACTTGAAAGTTTAAAAAAACATTATTTAAACTTCCTTGTTCAGTTAATCGTGTATGAATAAAACCAGTGACAGGACTTAATCGTGTCCTGGTTTTAAATATAGAAATCAAATATTTGTAATACATTGGAACCTTATACTCTGTTTAGGTTCTTCATATGAACTGTTCTTCATTTTCAGTTGAATAAGACTTTTAAAAACTCAATAATGTTTTTTGTTTGTTTTTTGTATTGTTTAACCGCCCACAAATAAATAAGCAATGATATATGTATATATATAAATCAATTGCTGGAGTGTCGTGGTAACGATAGACAAACAGGGGCTAAAACGTAATAAAGGGGGCGAGGTCGGGGTCATTTACCCAAAATATACAAACACAGAAGTCAGTAAGTAGTGTAGAATAGGGTGGGGATGTCTTTGACGTTATAAGGGTTAATAAGTAGTGTAGAGTAGGGCGGGGATG